AGAAAAATTGAAATTTTTATCAGTATTAAACAGGGAGAAGGAAAGGGGAGGAAATTAATCAAAACAATCATTGAAGAATCCAATTCATTGTTCTTTCGTGATGCATAAGAATGAAAGTACATTAAAAGGTGAAATAATAAATTGAAGTGCGATGATGAATCAATTCTTTGACGTTGATTGATTGAATAAAAAATAATGAAACAATATGGTCTGAAGGTCATATATCTTCGAATATTAGAAAGTTTCATCCACCATCGTGTTGTTGAACACTATTTGCAATTTAATTTTAATGCGGTGACGTGTCGGTTACGAGGAGAAGGTCATATCAGGCTTCTATATTTTATAATACTATCAACAGATATCACATCAAGCTACGAGAAAGTATATCATCATCTCACAGAATTCTACTCGAACACCGCGTCGAAATTCTTTTCACCCTTTTTTTTTTTCTTCTTCCTCATTTTTGGTCCCTTTTAGCTCTCCTTTTTTCCTTTTCCTTCCTTCTCTCTCTTTTTTTTAGCGGGGGTGGGGGGAGGCAAAGGCCATTTGCCCCACCCCCATCCGCAACTTGTTGGCGGGAAAATTGCAAGTTATCCCCTTCTTTTCTTTACTTCTTCCTCAATTTTCCTTCACTTTATCTCCTCTTTTCCTTTTTTCTTTCCATTTCCTTCCTTCCTTCTCTCTTATTTTGTTTTATTGGGGGGAGGCAACAGCCTGGGAGGCAAGGCCCTTTCGCCCCCCCCCCCCCCCGATTTCCTTCTTCCCCCTTTTCTTTTCTTCTTCCTCTTCTTTCTTTCCCTTTCTCTCCTCTTTCCCTTTCCCTCTTCTCCTTCTCTCTCTTTCTCTCTCTCTCTCTCTCTCTCTCTCTCTCTCTCTCTCTCTCTCTCTCTCTCTCTCTTTTGTGGAAAGGGGTGGGGGGGGGGGGGCAAGGCCCGCTCGCCCCCGCTGGATCCGCGCCTGCATATACTGTACCTTATATCTTCTAACGTTAGACCCTAATAATGGATCTAGAAGATTGATTGACCTGGTCTCAGTGACGGGTAAACTTTTTTTTCTCAATTACTTGGTCTAACCATGAAAACCGTCTAATTTTACTTTAGATTTTCAAACAGTAAAAGTTACGACCGAAAATTAGGCCTAGGGCCAAGGGCTGTACTCTACATTTTAATAACAAATTAACGTTAACGTTAGACTTAACTTAAACTGTTGTTTCTCTGTGATACAAGTGGGAAAGGAACACTTCTTTTTTCCAAAAAAAAGAAAGAAGAAAATTCCCCTTTTTTCCCCCTTCTTTTTTCCCAGGGGGGGGGGTGGGGCGGCCCAAGTATACAGCTATGTAACAAGTAAATTTTTAAGAGGGAGAATGCCGACTTAAATAAATGATAATGATAAAATACCAAGGAATTTAGGAGTTTCATCCAATGGAAATTTGTATTAAAATAAGAGCCCCCGTCAGCACTAAAAGAGCCCCCGTGAGAAGGTTCACGGGGGCTTTTTTTTTGGAAGAGCCCCCGTGGACAAAAATTTAATTTTAGCCCTGCTCACAAGCATTTTCAATGTCACTGGTAGAATGCGATTTAGATAATTTAATTGCCATGACATCATTTTGAAAAGTTATCAATTCAACTATTTGCAAGATCAGGGGAGTTTCTCGAATATCAAATATAGAAGGGAGTGGCCTCCTAAAATTGTTCCCGACTAGTCAACAGAAGTCGTTGCAAAATGTTCAATAAAGCGTGAAACAAACAACAACAACTACAAAAAACACCAAACACACGCAAACACACACGCAAACACAGAAAAATCAGTTTTCATGTTAAAATTATGTCACCAGGGTTCACATTTTCCCAAACAGGATCCAGAGATTTTTCCGAACCACCCCCCCCCCCCCCCCCCCCCCCCCCCGCTAGGGAAAAAAATTCCTTCACATTGCCAATCTTGCTCTCAGTAATAACTTTCGATGGGTTTTCCTTACATAACCTAGCATGCCTATTCTATTTGTCGAGTATCTCTCAGCGATATTACCAAATCCATGAGTGTTTGATCACTTGACACATATACCAACATGTGAAAGGTCAGAGGTGGCCTTTTGACACGATACACTATCACAACATTCACACAACGCCCTGTGAGATCATGTGACGTCATTATAAAATGAGGTTAACTCACTGTTCTACTTTCATTCTCTCTTCTCACGTTACGTGTCTTAATTAATACTATTCTTTATCATTATTTTAGACATAAAACACTCTGATTCAAAATGTATTCAAAGAGCAAACATGTTGTGTTCGAGATCGTTGAGGGATCGTAACGGAAACTAGAGAAGGGGTCCTATTAAAACTGGAGGGAATTGCCTGTCTTTCAGATCAATAGTTTACTTTTAAAGTCCCATTTTAACAATAGTCAAGTGGCAACCAAAACATTTTAAATCGGGCATAGATTTATCATAAAACGTTTAAAAAAACATTGGATAGTTTTAGCAAATTTTGAAATAGGTAAAATGTATGGACATACGATCCGGTTTGCGAAGATATGGCAATTATAGATATGAATATCTGAACTAACATCATCTTCCCAATGGTGGTTCTGAATGATGTTAAAAAATAAATAATAACCGGAATTTAAGTGCATTGCAGCATCTAGTCAGAATTAAATCCGAATAGGTTTCAAGTCAGAGACAATTTCACAACAGTCTGTATTAAAGGTACTATGTCCCTTTTGCAGCCAACCTCAAATGCTGTAGAACTGGCAGGAATTATGAATATGTCATGTATGTCCTATCTGTGAAATTTAAACGTTAGCAGTGTCCTCGTATTCAAATTATGCAAGGAAACCCGTTTACTTGCTAGATTTCACTGTCAGACACTATTGAGTGACTGACTGGCTTTTTTCTTCTTTGGTAATAACATACATGAAAAGAGTTGTAAAGGGTACATGAGCATTTGTCTACATCAATAACCCACTTCTTGTGATGGCCAAGATTAAACTGATTGAATCTTTGCGCAGCATAAAACGTATGACCATTCGGTACAATTGTCTGAAAATCAAGACTATTACTTTTGGGCTCTATAGCCCTAAAGTCGATTTGACAACTAATAGTCGTTATTTTCCCACTTGAAGACATTTTCAAGCCCCACCTTTTTTAGGGAAGTTCTGAATTAGTATTATCTTTCAAATGCAGTTGGAATTTAACTTTTTCATTTGTTTGGCCTGCAAATGGGACATAGTCCCTTTAAGAAGCTTGAAATCCCTAAATGATTAAAATTGAGATTTTATGAAGCATATGACTATTCAGATTCTCAATTATTATGATTTTTTAAGTTTGCATGTTCATATTAGATGTTATTCCAACTGAAATTCTATCACAGACAGGGTCGTCGTCAGATCGTATAGTGTGCGATGGGCTTTACGGGTGCTAATTCTTAGCAAGAAATACTTGTCTTTTCCTGCCATTGGTAACTCTTTGCGGGAGGTTTTTAGTCGTATCCAACTACCATTAAAACACATGTGTTATCCCGTCTTAAATCTTCAGATTTTTTACTGATATCTCGAAACGCAAGTATATGAATTATAGTATATTATGTTAAGCGTAATGTGTGAGAATTCTAAAGAGGGCGATGCTCAATGGGAATATAAACCCCGTTTTTTGAACAGGTGAATGAGAGTAAATCACGGCGGAGTTGAGTTGGATATCTTCAGTAGTGACACCATTTTGTACAGGAATAGAACGGAAAACTACAGGGAAAAAAGGAAAAGAAATCAGAGAAACTAGTTAATTTCAGAAAGATTACATAAACATCAAAGAAAACTTGTGAATGTTGAAACAAAATGAAAATCAGTAATAATTTGCATTTGTCAATAATACATTTTGAGTAATATATACTATGGAGTAGATCCATGCACATAGACACTAAGCTCTCGCCTGAAAAAGGGGGTGTTCTATTTCGAATCCGACAAGGAGTAGGCTTACAAATCGAAGTGCTTTGAATTTAGTCGAAAAAATAATCGACTGAAGCCTCCCATAATTGGTATGGTGATAATTAAAGATAAAGTTGAGTTCTGGTCATCCGATTGCATTGTGAAAGAAAAGGTGTGGAATGGATCAGAAAAAGTTGATCAGGTAGCATGTAAGTATTCGTATGTACTGCAAAGTTCTGGAGTCATCAAAATCATAATAAATTTGGCCTAGTCTTGGTAAAGTAACAAGCACTGTACACAGAAAGATGTATATGGGACTACACAATGCTCATTCCTCAGCCAGTATATATTTTCTATCAAAATTGTTTGGCAAATGACATTTATTTGTAATCTTGAACATTCAGTGTAAGTTTCGTTTGATTCTGTGAGAATTAATTTTCTCTTTTTTTTTTTACCAGAACTCACGTTTATCTTTAAGTTTCTAGGTTCTCTCTCTCCCTCTCTCTCTTTCTCTCTCTTTCTCTCTCTTTCTCTCTCACACCCACACACAGGTCATACTCACACTCCCTCCCTCCGAAGAGAAGCTGTAGACATATATGAACGGGAGAGATGAAGAGAAGGGCAGCATAAGATCAGAGGGAAGGAGAAAGGTCGGGATGTGATGGCTAAGATCCAAATCAGTGATGATGCTTAATGGGTCATGCAAGGTCCCTGTCCCTGTTTTTGTTTAGTTTCTTTCTTTTTAGTAAAAAATCATGGGTAAATGGGTACATAAAGGTCTATCCAATATCTAGAGAGAATATCTGGTCAGAAAGTATAGCAAAGCAAATTCTTTCACACTCAAATAAATTGAATACACCTGTATCCAACAGGCTCCCGCCCATTTTGAAGGCTTATTGAAAGAGTAGTGGATTTGACTTTCAAACAGCCTGCCCGTGTGACTGATATTTATAGAATTTGGCAACCACCCGATCGAATGAATGATGAGATGAAAGGGTAGTGGAGAGCATGTAGGTATAGGTCCATGCATACTGTACTGTACACTCGATCGCTCCGATCTGTGGGACTCAGTATAGGAATTTGACCTCTCACGGCAACCATCCGGATCTGTTTGTGAAAGTCTTCTCACTCGTATTGATGTCAAGCCTTTGGAGAGTTGTTACGTGGTTAGACGTATATTTGCTGGTATTCGTTGCAGACTGACTGCATGGTTGGTTGGTAAGTTGATTCATAACTCCATGGTTGATTGTACAATTTGTACTTTCACGCTGGATTCTTACTCTAGCATATTCGGTCGATGATAATACTTCTAGACTAACTCTTTGTATCAGTTGTGATATTTAGGTGCCATCATCCTTGGCTCTACAAAGTTACACGAAGTACTTTTAATTCTGGTTGGCGGTGCAGTGCGTATGAGCTCTGTTGAATGAGGTGAGTGTATTAATTATTATAATAGAGTAGCATTTTGAGAATGATTTCCAAGCAATGTGATGTGAGGTTATAATGCGACTCTGTATCCGTCATGTCCGTGTGTGTGGTCTGGTCATGAGGAATACAAATGCGAAATATTTATAGTATACGTATATCCTTTCGAAAGCAGTCGTGATGCATATATCATAACGTGCATGCAGGCTAGGTAAGATTGTAAGATTGATTGTAAGATTTTATTAACTCTATCTATCCCCTCTCGGGGTATAAGAGTACAAACATATTTACAACATAGTAATATAACAAATAGTAATAATGTGATCCCTGAAAACACTCGCTCCCAATTATCATTGTTCGAGAATTAGAATGTGATACATGTATATACAATGTAGTATATACTGAACTGCTGCCGCACAGTTCTGTCGAGAAAAATTTGTTCCACCTTTTCTTCGAGTCCTTCAATGCCCTTGAAAATCAATTATAAATTGAATCTGTGTTACATGAATTCATGATGTAAAATGGACTGATCTTGTTCGATGATATGCATGATGTTGTGCAGGTGAGTTTAATTCACGTTGACTTTGTCTAGCTAATTCCCACTGAGTTTGTTTGATTTATTACCATACTTTACAACTACTTTAAGAAAAAAACTATATCTTCCTCTATCTGACCTTTGCGTTGGGATGAGCATATCTATATACGAGCAGGGGCGGCGATTTCTTTTCTTTACCGGGGGGGGGGACGAAATGCGTGGAACGAGGGAAGAGTGATGTAATGAGCAAAAACGTTTTTTGGGGGGAGAAAAAAATCCGCATCATCACCGCTCTTACATGTTACATGCAGGCCCCGCGGAACGTTTTTCAAGGTGGGAGTGGGGGGGGGGCTAAAGTGTTTGCGATCAGATAGAGCAAAGCAAGTGGGGCGTAAATTGGCGTGGGGTCCAGGGGCGGAGCCCCATGAAGCTCAGAGTTTTTAGGCATTTAATAAGGGTCAGATGAGCATATTTTGATACCTTATTTGTGACACTTGCATGCAGGTCATTAATCGGAGTGGGGTCCAGGGGGCGAAGCCCCAGAAGCTCAGCGGTTTTAGGCATTAAATTACGATCAGATGAGCATCCAGGGGCCGCCTTAGGGCCCTTGGTGGGGTCTAAGGGCGGAGCCCCCTGAAGCTCAGGGTTTTAGGCTTTTGAATATGGTCAGATGAGCTCCAGTGGCCCGCCGAGGGCCCTGGTGGGGTCCAGGGGGCGGAGCCCCCGGAAGCTCAGGTGTTTTAGGCATTTAATTGTGGTCAGCTGAGCAACCAGGGGCCCGCCTTAGGGCCCTTGGTGGGGTATAGGGGCAGCAACATTTGTAAATTAGTCTCTGGTATCGAATTAGAAATAAACCACGTTTGAGTTTTATCGGGAGGGGGGGGGGGGGGACTGCCCCAAGCCCGAGTGAGTGAGCATAATTAATGAGAGGGGTGAAGGTGACGAAAGTGATTACCCCCTCATAGGTTTTGAAGTTTTGTTGTATTACAGAATTATATTCCTTAGCAAAACTATAGTATGAAAACAAACAATGTACTGTTTTCACACTTCACTTTTCTACAATATTTACTAAAGTCTTGTACATTTTGAAGGATATTATGCGAGGGACAAAGCTCCCGAGCCAGAAGATTTTCGCATTTTGATTTGTCTAAACGCTGCACTCTTGGGCCCTCCAAAGCCTAATAGTGTGTTACAGTCTTTAGTCAGTATTTGCTGTACATTATTTTTCTGCACTTTTTCAAATTTTCCGGGGGGACGATCCCCCCTACAAAAATCGAGGGGGGACGTGTCCCCCCCGTCCCCCCCCCCCCCCCGGGATCGCCGCCCCTGTATACGAGCATGTAGTACGTAGGTCCATGATACGATCGAGCTCCAAATTTCTTACTTACTGTAATAATCGTCTGTAATCCACTTCGAATGATCTTTGTGATGGGGTAATTGCAACTTGCAAGAGTCTATATAATATGGTCTAGTTGGTGGCCAGATGCCGATATAGATTATACAGTGCGTCCCAGAAAAAAATGAAACCGAGAATTATCGATGTTTTATCATAACTTAATCACAATTATAATTAACAAATGACACATATTTGTTAAGCTTAGATCCTCCTCTTTCGTTTGATGCAACTCGTATAATGCATTTTTCACGTAAGAGTGATTGAAAACAATTTGTAGAAAGGGTATCATGAAGTCCTTTGGCGAACAGTATCTGAATTTCAAAGAGAAAATCGTATTTCTAGAAGGTTCATTTTCTGCCCTTCATATGACACCTCAATCAGGACAAATGAGCCGGGAATAACAAAGCTCTGTTTTTTTTTAAAGTAATGCTTGCATTTCCATATGTTTATTAAACGAATCCGTTCCACTGGCTGTCTGGCTTGTCTGCTCTATAACAACAAAGACGACGAAAGACTTCATGCATGGCTGATCGTCAACGAAACGGAGTTTATTGTTTGTTGTTACGGCAGGCAGCCAGTGAAAACGATTTCGTTTAATAACAATTATGCAAATGCAGGAATTACTTTAAACAAACAGGACTTTGTTATTCCTGGCTTATTTTGCCTAATTGAGGTGTCATATGAAAGGGCAGAAAATACAATTTCTGGAAATGTGATTTCCTTTTTGAAATTCACACACCGTTCGCCAAATGACTTTTTGGTACTTATGGTACAACTGATATTCCAACTGGTACCAGTTGCAATTCTCAACTCGAATCCAGTTGATTCCAGTTGATTCCACTATACCAATGTCCATATTGAAACCTGTTCGCTAAAATAACCTTGATTGCATGAAAATAACACTCTTTAATTTGTTTTGCAATGAACTCTATGCAAATTTTGGGGGGCTCTTTTATGACTTTCTGGGGCTCTTTTGGGCATTTCGGGGGCTAATTCGCCCCGAGCCCCCTTGTATTTTGTTCACTTACTTCGCTTAACTGTAATCTACTGTACCTGGGATAATTGACCTGAAATGTGTCCATGGAAAGCTAAATTGATCTGCGATGAAAGTAGAAATCACCAGTACCAGTGATTGATTGATTGATTGATTTTTATTCGACAAGCTTCCAACATACAACAATATACAATAATAACAGATCAAAAAAAGTCAGCTTGAACAAGATTACCCACGAAAGCTCGAGAGCTTATTTCCAGTGGGGTCCCTTACAGACATGTATAAAATTAATAACTTAAAATAGTAATAATTATTTACAGACAAATAAGAAAAATAAAAGAATTACTTATTAAAGATAATAATAATAACAACATTAAACTGATGATAGAAATGATAATAAGTACAAGAAGAAAAGGAAGAAGGAGAAGAAGAAAAAAAGGCGGAGGAACTAGAGGAAAATAATAATGAATTTGTAGAATTTCTATAACGTACGAAAACATAAGTATATACAACATGAAAAAGTATGAACCGGCAGAAGAATACAAATTTCAATCATATAACATGTCATTTACTTCTCTGTAATATCTGACTGTCAAGTATTAGGTATTCCTTTAATTTCCTCTTAAAATGAGCATAGTTTTCTATTTCCTTTACACCATTGGGAAGGGAATTCCAATGTTTTATGGCATTGTAATAAAACGAATTTCCAATACTACCTACTCTTTCTGGTAAGTTAAAGTTGAATCGGCTATTTCTTGTATTATAAGCATGTAAGTCAGTAACAAGATCGAAGTTGGATCGAATATAATGATTCGACCTAGTATGATATATTGTATGCACGTGATGCAATACGAGTTGCAATACGAGTGGCGTATCCAGGATTCTCAGACTGGGGGGGGGGGCACGTGCTTGTGTTATGTAGATGGTGAGTTTTCATCATGACATCGTGAGAGAAACAAATTTAGTTGTTGGACGAGATGGAAACGTCACTAAACATGTTTATGGAAAAATAACTATTTTATGATGAAACATAAGTTATTCACGAAGGACCCCCATTTCTAAAATGCACAAAATTGGACCATTCCATGTTTAAGAGGTTTGTGGATATCTGTGATCTTATATTCTAATTGCAAAATCAGTCTCATGGTTTAATCATTTTATAAATGTAATGCTTCCTGGGAGAAATGTCAATAGTTTGAACATATTTGTGGCTTACACCCAGTAAATAAGATCGATTGATCGATCTGTAATTGAAAACACAAGTCAGAAAAAAAAAGGAAAAAAAATTACATAATGGATCAATCGATCTTATTTACATGGTGTAAGCCACAAATATGTTCAAACTATGGTTTAATCATGTTATTTAATTTTGAAAAAGGGTCAGAGAAAGACGCCATTACATCAGTCAGTATAACCCATTCACCTCAAACACGATCGCTACTTTCGAAAAGTCAATTCAAGGGCAATATCAATACCCTATTGTATGTGTCGCAGGAATCATGTTCAGATTACGTAATACTCCATTGTCATGTACACACATTCAACAGGTACATGGCTCACAAGGCTAGTGAAATTGCCTTGGGTCCTAAGATCATTTTTCGAAAGTAGTTGTTATCGTGTTTTCCAGGCCAGTTTCTTAGTCTCTGAGTAACTGGGTAGTATGTACATTTTGTATGAGAACATGAATATTGTGAAGGGGAGTTGCAACCACCAGTACCATGAAACATAATGATACAATACACCTCTGGTGTGAATCTATTAATTTGGTCTTCACACGATTGTGGGGGGGGGGGGGGGGGTCAGGTACCAGGTGCATGCATACAAAAACTGTTTCCCCCCTCTCTCTCTCTCTCTCTCTCTCTCTCTCTATCTCCCCTCGCTCTCTCTCTCCCTCTCTCTCTCTCTCTATCTCTCTCTCTTTCTCTCTCTCTCTCTCTCTCTCACTCTCTCTCTCCTTATACTTCTTCTGCAGTAATCATCTAATCGAAGCTGATACCATGTCCCAAGATGAAATAAGGACTAGACCAGATGAGATTGAAATGGACGAGCAAGCATCATCATCATCATCGGAACCGATCGTTCTTGGTAGGAATGTTGGTCTCCCTGGATGCGTTGGCATGGTGATGGGTATCATTATTGGTACTGGTATCTTCATTTCTCCAGCAGGTAAATTATCGTCAAACCTTTTTCTTCATTCGTATCTTGCAAATAAATGTATTCTTCAAATATATCTCTTTTTTTCTGGATTACTTGTTTCATGATTAGCTGACCTCGCTTTTATTTATCGTTACCCTGGATAGAAAGTATTGATATTAGTTTATAAAGGGTCTACAAAATAGTTTAAATCCTATAGTACTAAGGGAATGATTATACAATTTCCTTACTAAACCTCTTAAGAATTAAACGTACATAGGATGAAGAACGCCAGATAGTTTTGAGAAATACAGCAAGAGGCTATGGAGGGACAATGAATATTTAAAAATATTGTTAGAAATCTAAATCATTTTTATCTACACATGTTATTTTGTAATAATAATAATAATATTCCGCTTTTATATAGCGCCCAATACATCGATACAACGATGTGTCTAAGCGCTTTACAGATATATTAGTACCTGAATAACATGTTTGATGTCGTGACATTTCAATTGTATGTGATCCCCAATGAACTGTACACTAAGCCGAAGTAATGAACGGCCCATGAATATTTACCTAGTTCTCATGTAGCACCAAAATATATATCACGAAACTCGAACGAAAACACCCTTAGAACGATATGATGTTTATTGATGACAGGTGTTTGTCGATCGAGTGTTCGCCTTCTGGTGGAAATTCATGCCATTATTGATATCATATAGGAGAATCACGTACGGCACCACATAAACATCACGACGTTGGTGGGTTCAAAGATGAATTGTTGATTCATGCCGTTTGTTTCTGCTGATGATTGATCTACATCGACGAGACCAACACGACACCGACGATAGACTAAAGTCTAGAGATCTCCGATGAAATTTATCACCTGTTGTTGATTCATGTGTAAATTCGTTAAGAGTGAGGCATTAGTATATCTGATGGGGACATAGCCTCTTGTCGATGCCCTCGCGCTGTTGGAGTCTCTAAATTCTGACTCGCTTCGCTCGTCAGAATTTAGAGACTCCAACAGCGCGAGGGCATCGACAAGAGGCTAATGGGGACAAGGAGGCGATTCACCCAATACTCATCTAAAAGACCACACGAGAAGAAAAGTGTAACTAATTTTTTTTTAATTAAGTAATGAAATTAGATAATTCATTTCAGTGAATTGTGATTTTGTGGCGTTATCAGTTAGCAGCAAAAATTCGGACAAACGCACACATCAAGAATTGTCTACAAGTGTAAAATCTGGTTTCGACAATTCCGACAAAGGTTTCAAAATTCAGCAAACACAGAAAAGAATGGTAATTGATTTAGGAATAAGGCGACAATGCTTCAAGGCTATCACATTTTCCATGAGGAAATTTTAACAATGTGTCTTCTCAACTCTTCTGAGTCGATCCGGTTGACCTGTCAACTGATATTATTATCATTTTTATTTTTATTATCATCCTATTTTGTCAGGTGTTTTGGCTGGAGCAGGTGGGTCAGTAGGTCTCTCGTTAGTGATATGGGTCATTTGCGCTTCAATAGCAACATGTGGAGCTATGTGCTATACAGAACTCAGTCTTACCTCTGGCAAGTCCGGTGGAGAGTTTATCTTCATACTGGAACACTTTGGACCGGTCCTAGCCTTCTTGAGAATGTGGACCATCTTAGCAATCATCATGCCTTGCATCTCAGCTATTCAGGGGATCACCATCGCAAACTATCTTACCACACCGTTCTTCTCTGATTGTGAGCATGTACCGGTCGATGCCATCAGACTTATAGCTGTCGTAGTCATTTGTAAGTTTCTCGATGCCGACAGGGCTGCTTGAAATCAATTATTCCAATGAAAATGAATCTTGCCGCTTGGAAGGTCCAAGGGTCGTGTAGTACTCTTATTCACGAATGCACGTTTATTTTCCCCATCTCTGATCCGCCCATCTGTCCTTCTTTTCCCCTCTAATTTTTCTTCTCAATTTGATCGAGGGGGGTTGTTACTCTGTCACCATTGGCTAAACGATTGGTGTGGAACTTATTGCTGGAAAAAGCGCTTATCCTGACTATAATATCTTAATTGTCGTTTCAATTGGTTTGCACTCTTATAACTGCATATTTCTCTGGTCATTACTTAATAGAGACGTATATCCGAATTTTTGTTATTAAAAACACATCTGTTATGGTTTTTTAAATATTTATTGTTGATTCGTCTATCTTCTATTATACTTATAGTTGGTTTGGTCTATATCAACTGTGTCAGTGTGAAATGGTCTTCTCGTCTTATAAACACACTGACCATCACAAAGGTTATTGGTCTGTTGGTCCTCATCATCACCGGACTCGTATACATATGCAGAGGTGAGTTTTACACTAGGATTGAATTCAAATTATTTCGTTATTTTATTGACATCGCTACCAGTCCTACCACTGATGATATTGCCTCAGCACTATTATAAGAGTAGGGGGAAACCCCTGTTTAGTGGTCCACCTGGACACCCCCAATCACTTATACCGGGAGGAGATCGAGACCCGAGGGTTACAGAGATTCCGTTTATTTTTCGCCTCCCAGGCGCAGGTGACGCCGAATACTTAATAATAATGATAATAATTTATTTCCAATTGCGTCATATTTTGGTAAAGGCGTACATAATAATTATAGCCATTTCCGGCTTTGGTAACCAAGCATCATCACGAACGCGTCATCAGTTGGTGATGCATTGTGGGACACGGCTGTTGACACATTGGGACATTGTAAGCATCAGATAGCAGTATACGTAAATCTGAAGTAGTGTCAGTAGATAACCCTGCCTTTAAAATACATTAATATTATCTGCTTGTGAATCTTAAGTCATGGTTATGTGATTATGACAATACCAAGAAATGATTCAAACGTATTTACATTGCGATTTTATTTGTATAATTTGTTTTGGTATAATGTTATGAATCCTTCCATTTTGACTACACGCCATGTTTGATTGAATTAAACCTACTTTCATTAAGCAGACATGAAGACATTTCGAATAGATGCATTGGTTATACTTTAAATTTAGACTGATGTAACGTCAACACCCTGAAATGAAAAAAATAAATGATCAATGTTTTATTCATATAAAAATGAATTGCGGCCCTGGGGCTGAATTATGCAATACTCGTTACAAATTTATTTACACAATAAAATGACACACTTTAGGTGGAATTGTGCCAATATAAGAAACATTATTTCTGTATGCCATTATAAATTATTATTCATGATTATAACTAACACGTGAATGTGAAAAAATTAAGTATTTTTCTATCCATCATTTTCCTCCCTATAATACAGGCAACACAAGCAACCTGACTGATGCATTTGCAATCCCAATGGACGTCAATATACCTATGGCTATTTACAGTGGAATATTCGCTTTCGGAGGATGGTAGCTATTCGTTTCGGGTTTTGTTGTTATTCATCCTTTTTCAAGACTTTTCATGCAGTTGATTTAGGGGAAGCCCCAAAAGATGCTGGTTCTCATAAAAGAAGATATTTTGTGGGAAGCTGATCGAAGAGAGGTTGAGCAAAATGTTGTTGTGTGATCGGCGATGGGGGTGTCGTGGCCGCCATTAGGAAAACATCTCATTTGAGCTCTGCTCACCAGTTCACCACTTTTCCTGGAGCTACCATAATCTGATAGGAGCACTGACCACTGATAAAGGGATTACCAGTAGGGTCCATGGGGAGAGAGACAGCGGTCAATCATAGCCTAGTTACTGATAAAGGGATTACCAGCTGGTATCCGATATCCAGTCCAGATTCATAGTCTTCTCATCGCAGACCCTACACCTATATTTATAATAGGCCTGGATTTAGTGTGTCTAAAGTCTCACTTCATATTGTTTTTTTTAGCAAGTACTAGCTATTTAAGTTTCTTTTACGTATAGAAGAGAACATTGATGTGCTTGGCAATGGAAAAATGCAGAAGGAAAATATAAAGGGAGGATAAAATAGGGAAAGACGGGTGATAATAAGGAAAGATGGAAATGGAGGGAAAGAAGGAAGAGAAAATAAAGAATAGCATAAGGAAAGATGGAAAAGGAAGATAAAAAGTTTAAAAAGAAATACATAAGGAAAGATGGAAACAGAAGATAAAGAAGGTTGGAAAAAAAAGAAATACATGAGAAAAGATAGAGAGAATAAAACAAGGTGAAAATAGAGGAATACATAAGGAAAGATGAAAAAGATAAAATTAGGAGAAAATAAAGAATAACATAAGGAAAGATGGAAAAGGAAGATAAAAGAAGGTTTAAAAAGAAATACACAGGGAAAGATGGAAACAGAAGATAATGAAGGTTAGACATAAAGAAATACATGAGAAAAGATAGAGAGAATAAAACAAGGTGAAAATAGAGGAATACATAAAGAAAGATGAAAATTAGAAAGACGGAGAAAATAAAGAAGGGCATAAGGAAAGATGGCTAAAGAAGATAAAATTAGGAGAAAATAAAGAAATATATAATGAAAATTAGAAAAGAGATGTTGAAAGGAGAAAAATAAAGAATAATATCAGCCGAAAGGTATATAGAACAAAGGTGATAATAGTGAAAAACATGAGGAAAGATGGAAAGGAAACATGGAAAGGAAACATTGAGAAGATAAAGAAGTTAATTGGACAAATAAACTTTAAAAAAACCACCAACCAACAAGCGTTAACTGGACCAAACTTTGATTGGTCATGTTGCTGCATAATAACCTAAAAAGGGCGACTTGAAATAATCGCACTGTCACAAGTATTTTAGTTTTCCTGCATAAATATAATCATTACCTTAAAACATAAAGGTTAGATGGCTTATGTATTGAACCAAATCATTAATAGGCAAGCTTGCCCAGTACCTCTTTGATCAAACGACACGGCGAATTTTTAAGAACACTAAAAGAAAATACACTGAAAAACGGCCGCTCAGAGTGCCGGGCGCATTCACGATACTGCATGTGGCAAGCTGTTCCGAATTGGGTGGTGGAGTAACGCCTTTAACAGAGGCTATATTTGTCGACCTTACCCGACTTTCAAATGGAGAATCTCACTTTTCGGTGAACGGGGACCGAAATACCCCACTTGCGTGTCTGGTATTACAGACCGCTTTCTTTCCCGATATCTTCGCGTACACCAAGCTTCGTGAGAATGAGCAATCTCAGAATCTGGATGAATGTTGTCCTTGTAGTGTGAGGTTCATGAGTAATTATTGTTATAAACTACGACATATAGTATGGATGATAATGTTTGTCAAGTTTATTGCGGACTATGTCATCCTCATAAAAGTATTAGATCAAGTAAAAAGGCTTCAATTAAAATAGTTAAACATGACCAGAAATCAATTCGATGTGAAGATATTTTTGACGCACTTCTCGTCATGATATTGAATTTATAACATACAACGAAGCGAGGACATCATAATCATAAAGACGTTCCTTGTGCAGATATGTATTTGCTTATTAATACATACAGTGACAAAAAGAATAATGCGCTATAATCATGAGTAAAAAACCAAGAGGTTTCGGAGAAAGGTAAAAAATCATCCGAACAGTCAATTAGGCAATTCTTCAACAATCTTTAGTATCAAAAAGTGAAAAGGTTTAACTGTCGTGATAAAAATGAGCTTGTCATAGAGATTTATTATACAAGTGAGCATCGAAATGTTTCTTTAACGAACTGCTATAAAATTTTGAAACCAAATACACTTGTGCTGAAATTTCATATCCTCAGTATCGAGAAGCATAATGTTCCATTATGGTTGCATCAACTATTGTAAAATAGATTAAGTCCTTCGATGTCTTGTAATGCCCTAATTACTCAGCTAATTATTATCTTTCTAAAGGATTGTAGATTTGAGAGTTTCTGTTTCTTTCGTGTTACATGCAATGGACATTCAATCATCACGGCTTGATGTGTTGTGGGTAAATAAATATTGTATCCTATACGTATACAGATCATATTAAATCGAATAAAAGTTTGATGAAATTCAATTCTTATCTTGCCAGAATCATCATTTTTTTAAATACCGTCTTTATAACGAATTCCAAGAAATATGCCGTCTGCCTAAACAACCACCCCCCCCCCCCTATTTCAAATTTGACGTCTGAGCCCCGGCCAATCCCTATTTTCAAATCCTTGATCTGCCGTTTGGGGGGGGGGGCAAGAAATAGGCAAAGAAAGTTGAGTAGACCTTGAGATTACGCACGGAATAAATGTAACGAAAACAATATTTACAACATTCTATTCTTGCTTTAATACCTCAAAAATATTTAACGGTCAAACCAACAAAATGTATGTTTTCCCGGCCTTTCCTGATAGGCCTAGGCCTACACCATTTTTCTAAACGTGTTCGAGTTTATTTCGTCTATGCGAATAAATTTGGTGGCGGAGTAACGCCTTTAACAGAGGCTATATTTGTCGACCTTACCCGACTTTCAAATGGAGAATCTCACTTTTCGGTGAACGGGGACCGAAATACCCCACTTGCGTGTCTGGTATTACAGACCGCTTTCTTTCCCGATATCTTCGCGTACACCAAGCTTCGTGAGAATGAGCAATCTCAGAATCTGGATGAATGTTGTCCTTGTAGTGTGAGGTTCATGAGTAATTATTGTTATAAACTACGACATATAGTATGGATGATAATGTTTGTCAAGTTTATTGCGGACTATGTCATCCTCATAAAAGTATTAGATCAAGTAAAAAGGCTTCAATTAAAATAGTTAAACATGACCAGAAATCATTTCGATGTTAAGATATTTTTAACAATTTTAGACAATATCATATTTAATTGTGTCCATGTACTATATCGAACTAGACAATTATGATGAAACTTGAAAGGAACATAATTATAACCAGGAAGTTCCTGATATAACTATGCTTATAAAGTGAAGCAAGGAAGATGAAACTGGCATCTCCCATGTATACCGGTAGCTATGAGAATGGACATAATCCGAACCTATATGAGACTGCGAATAAGACTAGAACATCATGGAGGAGTTCCAAGCAGTACTTATCAAGGTTGGGCTGGCGATGTCCTGGCAAAGTTTGTTTATACTGCAGATTAGGGACTCTAACTCTCTCTTGCTCTGTGGTGAGCTTACCACCAAAATGCACCCCACTTTCAGGTCCAAAGTGGGGTGAAGTTTAAATGGACTGTTTTCGTCAAGTTAGCGGTATATTCACTTGACTCACAATTCAAAGGTTTAGGGTTCGAATCCCAGCCCGGCACTAACGTCCTTTGGCAAGACATGAATCCACAGTGTGTGCCAGCAATCCTGAATCTGATGACCTAGGTAATAATAGGGACTTTTAGATTTGCACGTCGACAGCTTTGACTGCAACGTGTGACGTCATTTTAAGGCACTGCGCATGCGTTACGTCGTCTCAGTCGGCGATCGAGAATGCGTCAACCTTGATTTTCCTAAATCTAGTACATACACAAACATATTGGTATTTATATAGCGCCTTTACATGCTCAAGGTACTAGTATGCCGCGTGCGCATAAAATATACAGTCCTCAAGTAGACAAAGGAACATCCCTTCCCTGCTATTATGTAAAAATGTGTAGAACAGGTGTCACATGCATATGCACCTGTTCTACACATTTTTACATAATAGCAGTGAAGGGATGTTCTTTTGTTGAGGGTAGAATGAGGAACTGTATATTTTGTCCTCTTTCTTTGTCCGTGATGTTCATAGTGTTACTTAAGCATGCATGTATATCGTCGAGTGCAATCTAAAAGATTTCTAATTGTAGTCAACATGGGCGGTTAAGTACGTTGACACGCATGATCAGTCGGCGTTCGTCGTGTTCTCGTCCACTCGATCTAAAAGTCCCTAATAATGTATCTTTAAAGCGCTTAGAGACATCGCCGATAATTAATCGCTATAAACCCAGAATGTTATTATTATTTTGATTGCTGTTTCAAGCAAGGTTAATGAAAATATCCACACACAAAAAAATTCTTCCCATAATCTTCCCGGTAGGATGCGAAAGCTACTGTGCTTAGATTAGCAAGTGTGCGCTTGCAAAAATGACGCCTGGCTGGAACTGGCTGAAATGCTTCCCAGGGAGTGGAGAATGTGCATACATTGTGTGCGGGTAAGCCTGAATCCGATGACCGGGGCAATAATGATTGCGGGGCCCTCAGGGAGAAAAGTATGAATACTGATGAGGCTACCCTGGGTAAACAAGACTTATTATTATTATAATCAGTCTTACTTGAGTCACCTTCATTACACACACCCAGGTCGCCTTATAAAAAAACTTATATACGACAGTGAGGCGATGAACTGATTAATTTTACTAATAATTGACACGTAAAATCTTCCCTCTATAATATTTATCAATGTCTCAAATCTCAATTAACGGTGTTATTGTTTTTCCTACAGGGAGAGTATTGCTATGATTGTTGAAGAGATAAAGAATCCAGAGAGGTAAGAACCAACTCGGTTTAGCAAAAAAAAATGTTAGTCTATAATTCAAGATCAAAATAGAATTTGTTTCGAAATTTGTAATATCCCTCATGCATGTGTATTAAATCCAAGTATTTAGAATTGCGCCTTTTCCGCAGTTACAACTGCTTCAGAAAGGCTACAGAAACGTGAATCGTGTTACATTTTTACGTTATCATGAAAAACCAACAAATTAATACGCGGTTAAGCGACGTCATAATCTGGACGAAACCTTAAAGTCCATTTCAAAAAGACCAGCTGAGCCAAGAAAACAACCCTTTTCCCTTACAAAAAAATAATTGGAATTTCGAAGGTCTAATGGTTGCCATGCATTCTTCCAATAGTTTTACATTTGCAGAAATATCGATAAATTAACAATGTCGGGGCGTTCTCGTCTAAGGTAACTACTATAATTATGCTTATAGAATAGGGTGGTAATAACATGTGTAGTTAAAACGTTTTAATGATAGTTCATTGTAATTTAAGATTTTTCAATTCATGAATATTTGCGAACCGTTACTATGTCAATGGACAGCAATAATATCCTATTAGAAAACAGAGGAATCTAAACAATAGCCATTCATATCATAGTCTAGCGTAACGAATGTTTATAGGCTATAAAATATTGTCTATATCGAGGTAACTTTGACTGACATTACTTTTAAAACGTGTTATATTTTGTTAACTCCCTTGACTTCAGAAACGTTCCCCTGAGTATTATCATCTCAATGGTAGTGATTACAAGCATCTATCTGCTCGCCAATGTGGCCTATCTTGTTATCCTATCACCGGCTCAGATCCTAGCCTCAAAAGCGGTGGCAGCGGTAAGTCATTATCCAAACATTATTCAATATACTAAGTAGTCATTCCGGTAATCAAGCCACACAAAGCTCTGACTAGCAAGCAAGCAAGAAATTATTTTTGTTAAATAAAGAAAGAAGGAAAGAAAAAAAGAAAGTTGAATCCTGCCTAATGACTTGTATTTTTTTGTACTTTGGTATCTATGACGTCATTTCAATTTTTTAAAAGGTGTATCCAAAATTGTTCTCCTCTTACCTTATACCAAGAATGAAATTGATAGAACTTGCTGAATAATATGCTTTCATATCATTCCCCTTGTATAAACGAAAGGCCCGTAACACAAATTTTTGCTATCAATTGCAAATTTGAAATAATGATTCTGATTGGTAAATATTCAGCCCTTTTAATAATATGTTCATGCTACGATGATCTTGATTGGCCATTACAATTTATCGAGCTTCCGCCCATTATTTCAGGTCCGATGAACTTTACTTTATCGTAAATATCTGAATTTCCTAACGAGGCTATCGGTCACATTTATCTGCGTCGAAGAGCAGCTCACTGTGATCTCACAGGGTTCATACATATCTGCTATAATGGTTTTACTCATGTTTTTACGGCGGCATAGCTGAAAGGACTGCGCATTTTTCTCAAACCACCGGGTTTGGTACATTGGTGAAGAGAGTAACCCATACTGATCTGCATAAGATATATGGCAATGGCGTAGCCTACTGGTGGGGGTCTTTTTGGTGGGGGAATAGGCTACTTCATGACTTTATTTTACAATAAGGGTTAAATTATTGTTTACCTCTCATTTATTAATGATGCCCTCGAGGAGGAAAAAAGTTACATAGATTTCCAATCGTTAGTATCTTGGCAATTTCAACACTTAGGAATAACCTTTTATGGTGCCTTGCCAAAACAATGAATGGGCATGAAAGCTAATTAGTTGTTCTCGAAGTTATATAACTTTTCAAGAATCCAAGAAGGGGATAAAACTTAATACGAAGTGGCTGTCTCAATACTCATAGTCACACAATGGCAGGGTGAGTGAGCGAGGGATTCAAATGAGAGGATTTTATAGTCTATAAATAGGATTTCTTTCGATTTTGTTCTTGGTCTGGTCTGTTCTGTTGATAGGATTTTAGCGTGATCGCTCTAGGAACCTGGTCATGGACGATCTGGGTTTTCGTTGCCTTGTCGGCCATCGGCAACCTTAACGCAATCTTTTTCGGCTTCTCAAGGTAGGCCTATTAACCCTTCTATTTGTATTTGATAAACATGATCGCTATCATTAAATGTGAATTGCACACGAGGCGTTATTTTGCTGATGTTTTCGACGCGCTAAAGTGTGAATGACACCATGAGGCTAAAAACCAAAGCAAAATTGTACACGGAGCTAATATTGCGTCAATGCACAAATTGCTTTAATCAATTTGATTGGCGATTATACGTATACAATAACATTGCAGCGGATTGTTACGTTATGGGTAAAGCGAATGTATAATGTGCCTTCAAATTGTTCATACATGTATTACTCTTTTAAAAGATATACACGACGTATTTATTTAGTTTGCATATGTTACTGATGTAATTGTATATATCCTGGGTCTTATTACAGGGTGTATTACGCTGCTGCTCGGGACGGTCTTTTACCTGAAGTCATTGGGATGATCAACATTAGACACCGTACACCACTTCCTTCAGTCATTGTTACGGTTAGTCATTCCTACAATGTTAAGATTATTCATTTCCTTCAGTCATTGTTACAGTTAGTCATTCCTACAATGTTTAGATTAGTCATTTCCTTCAGTCATTGTTACGGTTAGTCATCCCCTACAATCATTTTACAGTTAGTCATTCCTACAATGTTAGGATTAGTCATTTCCTTCAGTCATTGTCACGGTTAGTCATCCCCTACAATGATTTTTACAGTTAGTCATTCCTACAATGTTAAGATTAGTCATTTCCTTCAGCCATTGTAACGGTTAGTCATTATCAAGATTAGATCCAGTACACCACTCCCATCAGTCAAAGTTACAGTTAGTCGTTCCCTTCAGTCATCGTTACGGTTATTCATTCCCTTCAGATATGGTTAGTCATTCTCTTTAGACATTTATAATGGTTAGTAATTCCCCTCAGTCATTGTGACAATAGGTTATTCCCTTCAGACATTGTTACAGTTAGTAATTCCCTTCAGAAATTGTTACAGTTAGTTATTCACTTAAGACATTTTTATAGCTCGTTATACCTTCAGACATTGTTACAATTAGTTATTCACTTCAGACATTGTAACAGTTGGTCATTCCCTTCAGACATTGTTACAGTAATTTCGTTACTCCTTTCAGTGACTGATACGGCAAGTGATTCCTTACAGTCAATGATACGGTTACGAGATCATTTGAATTTAAACTATTTTTCAAATTCAGTCATGATCTTGTCAAAATTTAAATAGTTCCTTTAATATATTAATCCGATGGATTGAATAATCCACCTTTTTTCTTTGCAAACCAGGTTCCCATAGTGATGATATGTCTGATGGTTGATGATGTTTTCAAACTGATTCAGTACCAATCATTCGTAATGGTAGCGTTTCAAGCTATTACAGTCTGTATCATCCCGTATTCACGATGGAAATATCCCGACCTTCACAGGCCATTCAAGGTATGATGATGACGACGGTGACAATGATGATGGTGATGTTGATGATGGCGATGGTGATATGGATGATGGTGATGTGGATGATGATGAGGATGTTGATGATGTTGCTGATGATGATGATGATGATGAGGACGACAATGATGATGGTGATGTTGATGATGGTGATGGTGATGTGGATGATGATGAGGACGAAAATAAGGATGTTGATGTTGATGATGATGATGATGTTGATAATGATGACGATGATGATGATGAGGATGATGAGGATGATGATGATGATGATGATGAGGATGATGATGATGATGACGATGAGGATGATGATACTGATGAAGAGGATATTGATGATGTTGATGATAATAATGAAGATAATATTGCTGATGAGGTTGCTGATGATGTTGCTGATGAGGTTGGTGATGATGTTGATGACGTTTATGATGATATTGATGACGTTGATGATGTTGATGAAGATGTTGCTGATGATGTTGCTGATGATGTTGCTGATGATTTTGATGATTAAGTTGTTGATGAAGTTGTTGAAGAGTATGGTAATGTTGATGATAATGATTTTGATGATGATGATGTTTAATAATGATGATGTTGATCATGATGACGATGGTGACGACCTCTTAGAAGATGGTTAGATGATTAAGCCCTAATAAAGTGAATGGTGATCTACACTCGTTTTTTGGTTTGGCAATTTGAGAAAGGGCATGAATGAGGGTGACTGTGAATACAATACACTGGGGATGTTGAAGAGACGGAGGAGGAGGACGAGGAAGGAGAGGAAAGGGAAAGTGAAGATGTGGTATCAGCCTAAAGGACGATGATAGTGATTTCGATAACAATAATATTTTATTATGGCGAAGGTGATTCTAATGATGCGTTTTTAAATTAGAAAGATGTGATTAATCTAATGATGATAGTGTTGATGAAGATGGTGAATATGATGATGATGATGATGATAATGATGATGATGATAATGACGGTGACGACGATAATAACGATTTTGATGATTATGACATTGGTGATGATGACAGTGACGACTGTGATGGTTATTAACATAACATTGATGACGTTTCAAAAGAATTCGTAGAGAACCTTGACTTGAAGTCTTTGTATTTCCCGACAATATTACAAAATGCTTTTCTGAGAGACGCTATATAGAGAGCCAGTAATGACTTGTATAATACGTTAACACAGTTAATTACCACAAATATTCCATATTCAACCTTACTTTCCACATGAACGGAAACGAAAAGAAATATTAACATTCCTATAATTAGAGCCGCGTGTGATCTCTTGTCTAACTTAACTTACTAATTGAATCTTTCATAACTAATGATAGGTTTGTAAACAAACAATAAAAGTACAATTAATATTTTCATGACAAAAAAGCCCTTTATCATCATCAACTCTTGAAAATTTCTGTTATAAAAGTATTACCACAGGATATTTCAGAAGTTTACTTGCCGTATCTGATTTTACCACAGGTACCTGTGATAATAGCTGTATTGTTTGCCGTGGCTATGCTCTTCTTAATGGGTCTCACTCTGTATACGAGCCCCGTGAGTAGTGGGCTAGGCTTGCTACTCACCTTGATTGGTGTACCAATCTACTTCATCTTCGTGCGATGGAATAAACCTTTATGGTTTAGAAAAATAACAGGTAGGTGAAGACTTTCCTTTAAAGGCAGGGTATTCTACTAAAACTACTTCAGATCTACGTATACTGCCATCCACAGCTCACAATCATTTATATACAAATCAACCTACTAGCTGGCCGAAGAATAATAAGGAGATGACAATTGGCCGAATATTATTAATTTTGGAAAATGTTCACACTTTAACTATTGAAATGGTAATTTTATAACGGTTTTCGTTGTGAATTATTATCAACATTAATTTTTTACAAAATTTGTTAAGCTAAAGACAGATTAGGCCCATTATACATGATGAAATTATAAATTAAATGTATTTATGTTTCCACTATGTTCATGATGTTGGTTCTGTAGAATTAAATGTAAGGGAAAACATGTAACATCCAAATGGAGAGGTGGAATTTAAGAACTGACGAACATCTTAAATCGAGCCAGTAAAGCGAGCGAGAACAGATTTTCTCACATTAATCTTGTACTAAAAGTTATTTCTTTCGCTATTTCGGTCCTTTAATCACATCATTTCTCTGCAAGTTGCATTCTATCAGTTCATTTCTACTGATAAAGTCTCAACTCTACCAACAATACTCGTTAAAGCGCCTCACTCTCTTTCTCCCTATCCCCCTCCCCCTATTTCTCTCTATCTCTTCCTCTAGTATAGTTTTGTCATGTAGTTGTATATTTCTCTCACTTTGTTTCAGGCTCCATCACCAGGCCATTTCAGAAGCTATTTTTCGTTATACCTGAAGAAGCAAAGACACAATGAGATCGCTCAAAGATAGCATGGTCGACACGATAGTCAGGGTATATACCGACATCGCTATTTTCAGTTTCGATGAAGTTTTACATAATTACATAGAGTGGTTTTCGGTTCCTGTACCCTATAATCGTAATCACGCCCGCCCGCGTCACCCAGTTGGTGATGCATCGTGGGACATGGATGTCGACACATCGGGACATTAGGGACATCATTTGCGTGGACTCCTACGTGTGACGTCCTTTTAAAGACTGTTTATACTACTGGGCCAGAAGGGATAGACCACCCAGCCAAGGTCACTGACAGGTGGCTATCTCATTAACTCAGCTCTCAACTAACATAAGCAAAAGAGGATCATGGGGGACCAACAGGCACTGATTGTGGAAGTTTTCTATATAGAGGGAGCAAGTAGCTACAAGTAGGACGGTGGGGCTTTAAGGAACTGACAGTGCCTTAAAATGACGTCACACGTAGCAGTCCACGTTGTCGTCTTGCTAATCTAAATGTCCCTGTTGTGAGTAGCAGATGGCATAATTATACGTTCATCTGAAGTAGTGTCAGTAAAGCCAAAATTTAACCTCAACCAGCTCACTAACGGAGGCGCAACAAAAGTTATGAACATTATTAAATAGCGCCTTGAATCGTTCTTCTCACTACAAAAGGAAAATTCAAGGCAACTTAAGTAAAAACTTAAAGGGGGAAAAGATTAAATGAATCTGAAGATCCAGATGAATATTTCTTTCTGGGTCTGTGTATAGTCTGCCCAAGTCATAAGGCAGCATCAAGATTCCTTGGGTTTGCGTAACATACATGGCCACATTCGTGTTTGTGATTGAAAGAAGACAGTAGTATTATCACGGACCTATACCAGATATGACTGTCATCCGATTCTTATATTCGGGTAGTGAGCCGGTCTGGCTACAATCTACGAGACCGACAATCACTATAGACCAACATGGTCGGTTTGTGGGATTTTTAGGGTTCAGTACGTACGACTGACAGCCTGAGTACTGTGTTAAAAGATACAGAAATGTGTAGCGTATTCCACTTTGTCCTCATTATTAAAAAAACACCGCGGTTTTGCCGATTCGTATGAAGTGAAATTGATGCCACCAGTTTATTTTGTGCCTTTATCATAATTGATTATTCATCATCATTATTCATGGAAAAAAAGGTGTTGGTTCTGCCAGAATTATTTATAATATCATTTTCATATTATTGTCTAGCTTGTAAATTGTAAATATGACATTCGTAACATTTGTTTTTGTCAATTTTGAAGTGCATCGTTTTCATAGTTGTTACAGGGCCTTTCCTTCTTTGAAACTTTATACAGATTTATTTGAATGATTATACACTGTACACTGTTAAAAAAAACAGTAGATTTTACAGAGAAAAAATACAGAACCATTCTTTAAAGTGTTGTAACAGCAAATTTTCTGTAATTTAACAGGACAAATGTCTAGAAAAAATGAAGATTTTGTTTTTTTACAGGCAATTTGCGTGATTTCAGATCCCATATACAGATTTTTTACAATTCTACGGAATGTTCTTTTTTTATTAAGAAAACTTCATTTTTTAACGGATAATAAAAAAGAAATTACAGAAAACAAAAATACAGAACCATTCTGTAAATTGATGTAACTGGAATTTTCTGCAATTTAACAGGACAGATTTCTATAAGAAGGGGAGATGTTTTTTTTTAATAGGAATTCTGTATGCTTTCAGATCCAATATGCAGATTTATTATGATTCTACAGAGCGTTTTTTTTTTCAAAGTAAACCTCATGTTTTAATGAATAAAAAGAAAGAATCTACAGAAATTAAAATACAGATTCATTCTGTAAAAATGTAAACTAGAAACTTTCTGCAATTTAACAGATCTCTAAAAAGAAGATCCCATGTAAATAAATGGAGTGTCTTTTTATTCAAAGTAAACCTCATGTTTTAATGAATAAAAAAAATACAGGAAACAATAATACAGAACCACTCTGATAATTAATGTTACTTGACATTTTCTGCTGTGAAAAGGACGGATCTCTCTCCCTCTCTAAAAAAAGGATTGTTTTTTTCTTTATGGAAATTCGTAGGCCTATGTTTTTAAGCAGATTTTGCTTTTAATTCTACAAAGTGTCGATTTATTCAAAGCAATCTCATTTAGTTTAATGAATAAAAAAGACAGAATTTATAGAGGAAAATACCGTAAACAATTCTGTAAAATTAATAGCTGAATTTCACTGCAATTTGACAGAAATCTAAAAAAGAAGTTGATGAGGGTTTTTTTTCAAGGACATTCAGATCCCCTATAGATATTTAATGTTCTACAAAATACCCTTTTCAATTTAAAAAAAAAAGACCTTAACTGCCTTTTAATGCCTTAAACTCAACAACGTAAAATAATTTGCGGTAAAAATACAAAACCTTTCTGTTAATTGACTCAAGCTGCCGAATTCGGGCACATTTAAAAGGGAAAGAAGATTTCGTTTTTACCGGAAATTAGTCTGCTTTTATCAGAGGTTATGCTTTATATAGGCCTAAATTTTAGTAGGCTAGGCATAATTATATATATACTTCAAAGCAGGCGCGTACGCAGGATTTTTTCAAGGGGGGGGTTTTAACATTTATAAATCGGTCCGAAAATTTCGCAACGACTCAGCCAGTCGCTGAATAAGCGGGGGGGGGGGGGGGGGGGGGGGGGGGGGGGGAGGACACATTTTTTTTTTTTTTTGGTCCCAAAAAAATCGCAACGACTCAGCCGACCGCTGAATAAGCGGGGGGGGGGGGGGTAAGAGGACACTTTTTTTTTTTTTTTTTTTGGTCTCGAAATTTGGAAATTTGACATTTTGCTCCGTTGGGGGGGGGGGTAAGGTCACCTTTTTAAAAAAAAAAAAAAAATCCAAAGGGGGGGGGGGTTTAGGTTTTTTTAGGGGGGTTTACACACAAAAAATTTCCAAAGGGGGGGGGTTTAACCCCCCAAACCCCCCCCCCCCCCCCCCCCCCCCCCCCCTGCGTACGCGCCTGCTTCAAAGTTCATGTAGACCTCTCAGAAATCTTTTTTTTTTATGCCATAAAACAACACGAACTCCCACGAACTGAAACTGTAACTATACCGGTACCGTAATTTTTCTGCATCTTCTTAATCTTCTTCTTTTTCTTCTTTTCTATTCTTTTTTTCTTTTTTCTAACGGAAGTTTTAATAGTGCTTTCATATCTTATTCAGATTTCTGTTTTTTTTATTTTATTTTTTCTTTCTTTTCTTTTTTCTTGCCGCCAACTTTTTTGTTACCGTTAGCGATAGCGTGTAACATGCATGCGTGCACTTCGTTCGCGCCCATATATGCATGCATGGCGATCGATCAGATCAGAACGAACCGGCCGCCGGCGCGCCGGGCCAGCGCCAGCTATAGCTTGCTAGCTGCTTGCACTCGCACGCGCGCGCCATGCATTAATGTGCATGTTTACGTACGTACATGTACAGTGCAGCATAGAAGTTATCTAGTTAGCACTATGAACATGACAGACAATGAAAAGCGACAAAATATACAGTTCCTCAGGAAACAAAGGAACATCCCTTCACTGCTATTATGTAAAATGTGTAGAACAGGTGAATATGCATGTGACACACCTGTTCTACACATTTTTCATATTAAATAGCAGTGAAGGCTGTCCCTTTGTCTACCTGAGGAACTGTATATTTTGTCCGCTTTCATTGTCTGTCATGTTCATAGTGTAGTCTGATCTATGTACATAATGCATGCAGTACATACCTGCGAAGTTCGTTCGTGAGCTGAGCCTGGGCCTGCCTGTGATTTGAATTGGATTGGGTAAGTCGATTGTCAATTAAAGTCTCTTTTTCGTTAGGTTTATAACAAGAATTTCAATGTAGTGTTTATAGTATTAAGAATTGAGTTTGTTGGTGATCACCACGATGAGATTTAAGTCGGATAGAACTCGAGAATTTATGCTTTAACTCTAGTAAAGTAAGCTAGACCGATTAAATCTGTCTCTGTTTGGGGTAGACCGAAGGCTCCGGCCGTGTGTGTCGCTCTCAGTCATTAACATACGGACATTCTCTTTTTACCCTCTGAGTGGAGAGAGGGTAAAAAGAGAATGTCCGTATGTTAATGACTGAGAGCGACACACACGGCCGGAGCCTTCGGTCTATGTTTGGGGGACCTAGTATTTACAGTACGGTCATTAACGGGAGGGCCGCCCGATTAATGACCGTACTGTAAATACTAGGCCCCCCAAAACAGAGACAGATTTAATCGGTCTAAAACTCTAGTAGAATCTAGTAGACTCTAGACTAGACTAGAGTCTAGTCTAGGACTAGGTCTATTTAATGATCTACAAGATCGAAAATGCCTGTACCTCTCTATGCAAGAGGAATTCATGCTCTCTCCTTCTCTCCTTGGTGGTGCATTATTCCATTGTCCTTGATGAGTTGGAAGAAAACCACCTACGGAATATTGACAATAACCTCCACCATGGTATCCTTGTGATATATTACCGTCCTTCATCTCTCCCTCTCTCTCTTTTCTCTTGTCTGTTCTCTTTCTATCTTTAATCTAAACTCCTCAAAAAAAGTCCTGCAGATCAATTTTGAGCCTTAATATCTTTTTTGCTCCTTTTCTATGATTATTGATTTGATATCAATGGAAGGTTCATTTATCCCCTTTACATTGATACCTCATTTGTAATGGTTATTTTATGCTTGAATGCACAGTACTACTGAATACAGATCAAAGTCAGAAGTGAAAAGTTGCTAAATGAATGGCTATTGTTCACATCGAGTTCTTAACTGGTATGAAAAGCTTTTGTGATTTTTTTCTTGCTTGTTTGTTAGTTTGTTTGTTTACTTTGTTCATTATTCGTACATTTCAATGCTGTATATTCATGTTTGAAGGACAAAAATGTTTCAATAAATTTCAGGTGGTATTTGTTTTTTTGCTTTGGCAAGAAGAGGTGTTTTAATCACCAGCTTATGGTTAGAGCACTACTTGTGTTTTGATTTCATACAGATTATTGCAAGTTGCTAGCTTAGTATCAGTCCATAACGGAATTGGAAACAAATCGCTCCTCACATCATTTCATTTTCAGCCATATCCAACCAATAAAACAAACATAAGCAGAAACAGACCCCCCCCCCCCCCCTGCAGGAATCCCGCAAGCAGCTTTTTATTGCCAATCCTCATATTTTATCATAGTCAAAACGATGGGGAATGTGGGAAAGCCACTATAAAAAGATGCATTTATAGCAGGATTCCTGCTATAAGACAAGTACAGACTTTTGACAAGTTGT